TGAAGAATAAATCTCCTAACTTCATGCAATTCGTCAGTGTCTTTACTCCCAGCTCAGAAACAGACTTGGTAAGATAACTTTTTCTTCCAACACTAGTTCAGAAATTGACATCAACAGAGACAGGCTTCCTCTTCAGAAGCAATATTCACACACACACACACACACACACACACACACACACACACACAGAGCTAATCTTTTGGGGACATGCGCATCTCGGACAGCAGTTACAGGACAATGCAAATTATCTTATCAGGTTGTAGGACACAGACAACAGTGTCAGAAGCACAACTGGCAACCTGACCTGCTACGTATTTCCCCACAAACTCATCCCACCGTTGAACGCATCCTGTTTTTTTCAGCATGCTTACTAATTCAATCTTAGCAAAACTCCTTCCTCTTTCAAAGATTAGTTTAAAAACCCCACTACTGGTAGCCCATGATGGTAGCTTCAGAATAAAAGTTCTTAACCGGACTGTGATTAAATTACTTCCTATTTAAAACACACACACACAAACAGGAAATGAACAGCTCATCAAACCCGTCCGTCACTTCAAACCTAACAGGAATATTAGACAATTGTCACAAATCTGCAAAGGCAGAGAATGAATTGATCTCTTTGGAGGGCTGTGTTAACACACTGCAAGAAACCAAGTCAAGTAAGGACCTTGGGGCTGCACTGGCACAACTAGCTAAGTTTGGTTAGGGTTTACTTTGGCTAGATCAAAGGTGGCTACAATTCAGTTATTGCGCAAAGCAAGAAAATGGCCCAATTCAGTCATCGCGTTCCATGAATGCAGTCAACATGCTTGAGAAACAGATGAGCTATTACCTTCCTTCCAAACAATAATATGTAATACAAACTAATATTATACAGCATTTCTTTAATGAAATCTTACAAAATAAAAGGCAATGCAGTAACCATAGTGAAAGAATGGATCAGTAAAGTTTCGATTAAGAGTTAGGCGCTTCCCTCTAATAAGGGAGTGCCAATTTATGGCATTAGTTAAAACCCCTACCAATTTGAGAAAAGCTGGTTTCTTCTTTTCTCTTATTGTTCCAGATTTGCTTTTCCTAGTTCAGCCTTCTTAACATTTGTCCAGATCGGCAGAAGGCATCATTTGCTGCAATTTTCGGGCTCACGAGTTCCCCTTCTTGTATGTAACGTGGTGCATCAATTAAATCACCGATGCTTACGTGGCATCAATTAAAACAGGGGAAATTAGAATCCTGTGGGCATCGTAGAGGAAAATGGAACATTTTCAGGATGTTTCCATGCTTAAGTGTCCACTCAGCATACATATGCCTTGGTTTGCAAATGTAAACTCAACACAGGTAACTGTATAGCTGGAAGGCTGAACCAAGTTTGATAAACACATACGGCGGACGAATTATATGTCAGTTCTTTTCCAGTCAAGGTAAGGTAACACAGGCAAATTAAGGTAATTTGGAATCCAAACAATTACGGAAAAATTCATAGGGGGAGAAATAAGCACCAATACCATTCTTTTCTTTACTGGTACATAAGATTAGAGTTTTGGAAACATATTCTATACATACATACATACATACATACATACATACATATATATATTTATATATTTTAAATGAGGCTTTAAAAAAACTGAGTGAGATGAGAAACCTGGGATCACATCTGTATCACTGACAAAGTTGATTAAACTAGACAAGACCATGGGAAATATTTCAAAGAACCGAGGAAGGAGATAATGAGAGAAGTGGGAAAAATCCATTTTAGGAGGTGGCCCTGATGGAACAGAGAGCAGTTTTTTTAAGAGAAAAAAACGTTTGGAGAATAAAGCGAAATCTCTTGTGCTGCGGTGCTAACTGGATATATAAACAGCAATACAAGATTCAAAGATTATAGACTTAAAGGCTCCCACCATTTGACAAAGATTCCAATCTTTGAAGTCTTTCCCAAGAGTCTATAAAAGCAGAATTTAAAATTTGCCACTGGGCTCTTCCACAAGGCGAAATGAACGATCAGCGGTTTTCCATTCAATTAACTTTTCACGTGCATCAAATTACACCTGCTCGTTGAAATCTGCTATTATTCCCAATAGGCAGTTTTTGCTTCCTATCACTATAAGAACATTTTGGGGTCAGAATGATAGGAATTTCAAACTTCTCTCAATAGTTCTTCTGTGTTTGACTGGAATATTCCTCTTTTTGGTTCGTAATCTCCTTCCGCTCATGGATGGCCATTCCATCAGAAAAACTGATTTTGAATTTCTCATCCTCCCCAGGATTTCCCCAAATGTACAGAAAGCGTGTGTGTGTGTGTGTGGGGGGGCTTTTTGTAAAAATAATTCTCATTTTGGAAATTGCTCAGGGGCAAATAAAATTTTCCGGGGGGGGGGAATCCCAAACATATGTATCTTCACCTAATCCAGAAAGTCATTGTATATATGCTTGCCAATAATTAATGTTCATGTTATTTTGATCCTCTTTGGGGACTTGGGCTTGTTTTTAACAATATTTTAAACCCTGAGATTTGTCTTTTTCACATGCCTAAAATTAAGATTTTTGACCAGCAGCAAAGAAAGCAAGCCCATTCAACACCATGCTGGATGATCCATCTTCCATAGCAAACATTTCTGATCAGAAATGGCAGGAGGAAGAGGAATATTTCATCTGAAGAAAAACACTGGTTTTTCTTCTCTTAAAAGGAAAGCCGATTACAAAACTGGAACAGGATGACTTGTCACAGAGTAAGCCATTTTACCTGCCTTTCATACTAAGATCTGCAAGGACTCAAGACCATTTGCTTTCCTAAAGAAGACAGTATTTCCGTGAAGAGGTTCTGTGAAATTAAATCCTGAAACTGAACTCCAAAGGCAGCTGAAGAGCCATGGCTGACTATTGGCAAGAAACATCCACATAGTTGGAAGAAGATGCTGAGATGTTTCTCCTTAGGAATGTCATTGCCTCACTAAAGAATTCAGGGAACGTTACTGTGATTTGATCCACTGATGTGGGGGAGAGTGGAAGATATACCAGAGACATGCAGGATGCAATATAATTCTGTTGGAAGAACCATTACTTCTCAAGGGCAAACTATTCTTTCTCCCTCCAAGCCTCCACAATCCTATTTCTGAAGCCATGAGCCAGCTCAGAGCTGAAGTTCTTGATTGATTCAGGAATGCTCTCAGATGTGTTTTCAAGTCTCCTCTTTCACCAGGAGACTGATCTTCTTAAAGTCCACTGCCATTTCCTCATTTCAGAGAATAAGAAGGGCGAAGGTACGTTTTCTCCCAAGATGTTTTCCCATCGGCATTGTTAAGCAGAAAGGACCACAGATTCTGCATAGGCTTCTGTTGGTGAACTTTAGAGACAGAGGCCTTGCACTCCCTCTGCTGAGCATTTCCTTACTGACATTAAGCCCTCCCCAGGATAACAAAACAGGAAGCCCAGGTTTCCTCTAGGTTCAAAACATGCATGAGACACGAATTCTGGCTCTTCGTGAAGCTTCAGGCAACAGCATTACACATGGAGGTGGGCACTCAATTTGTGGATGCTTTGCTGCTAAAGAGGAGCAGGTGGATTATGAGAGTTAGATATCGGTATGGACGGTGGGACATTATTGAGGGCTTGAGTAGAAAGCAGTCTGGCACTTAAACCAAGGAAGGTGCTTGATTTACCTGGCCAGGTTCTTAAACGTCCTCCAGAGTGACTTAGGATGATCAATGCTTGAACAGTCAAGATATTTGCAGACGCCTTAAGACTTTACCCTAACATGCCACAAAAACATTCAAGACCACGGACAATGAAGAGAGAGAACAAGAAGTCAGAATGCGGGGCCTGATCGGGATAGTTAAACGAAAGACACGAGAGAGAGGAAGTCTTTACAAGACAAAACCCACACACTCAAAATACTGTATCACAACTATCAAGGTCACACTGCCAATGGCTGGACAGAAGGGGAACTCCATCTTTGTAAAGAAAAGGTGCTTACAGAAGGATGGCCAGGCTACCCAGGAGCAACCCAGCCCAGCCCTCCAGTGGAACTCAAGGAGTTGGGAAGCAACCCTTTAAAATGGATTGACACAGGCATCCATTATGTATCCAAATTCTCCCTCCTTAAAAAAAGTAACCTGCCAGCAACAGCATCAACTGCACACCTGTCTTTTCCCCAAAGGATCTCCGTGGCTGGTTTGGCTTGAGTGATTTGTGGCAGCCCCCAACTCAGCAGCATCCCCGGACTCTGGGAGTTTGCTGAAAGTCCCCAATGGGCTTTGTCCTCCTCCATGTTGAGAATACAAAATACAACAGCCACGTGTCAGTGAGGTGGTGTTCCCAGCATAGGGCCACAGATCTCACAGGCTTTATGGCCCCTTTTCTATGACTCTTCCAGTGGAGGTGAAGATCGCTTCAAGCCCTCTGGAGATCTGCTTGATCACTGCCCCAGAGAGGCACACTGGTGAGGGTGGGTGAGCTGCAGCTGTTGCTGTCTGGGGTGTCAGTGGGAGGAACAAGACTCACTTCGCTCATCCCCTGCTGATCTGGTCTATCGCCTTCTCTCCCGCCGATGGTGCCGTTGGCCATCAGCACGGGGGCTTCATAGTCCTGGGGGGTGTTGACCATAGGGGAGATGGAACTGTCCAGTGAAGAGGCAACCCCTTTGGAGAAGACAGATGTTTCACTCGTCAGGAGCCCATCCGTGAGAGGCAATTTCTGCGTTGGTAGAAAGGGAGGGTTAGAAAACAGCTAAAAAGATTCTTAGTAATCATAGGGATAAAAAAGTGGGATCGTTGGTAAAAGAAACAGAAAACAGAGAGCAGGAATAACTCCACCATGGAAGGAAACCAACAATTATTGTTTGGCATTGCTATATTTTTCTGCAATCTGATGCTCACCTGTGGATTTACAAGTGTCACAGAGAGGAAACACTTTATATCTATCAATCTATCTATCTATCTATCTATCTATCTATCTATCTATCTATCTATCTATCCATCCATCCCTCCCTCCCTCCCTCCCTCCCTCCCTCCCTCCCTCCCTGCTTCCCATGCCTTTTTATTCCTTAGATCTTTTTTTTACCCCAAGAGCTCTAGATGGCTTACTTGGGAAATCTCTTAGATTTGTGCTCTTAGCAGCTTACAAATATAACTGTACAATAAAAACCATCAAAATCCCTTCAAGAACTTGAAATGTCCTAGGCAAAAAACCAAAATAAATAAAACCAAAAACCCAACCAAGAACCAACCAGTGCTTTCAGCCCCTTCCTAGATTAGAGGAAGGAAGGAACTGGTCTCGTATAGTCTGAGCCAGAGAAAAGGCTGAACGAGCTACTAATGTTGAAGGTCCCCAAAGGAGGACTTCCAAAGATGCCCCACTGAAGATCCAAAAGTGGAAAAGGTCTGTATCAGCATCCAAAGTCATGCAAGCAAGCGGGACTCAAGCCGTGTTAGGCTTTATGCACCCCGATGAGCATCTTGGATGCAGTCTGGAAAACCACTGTAAGCAGTGCAGCTGTTCTCAATACTGGACGGATGGGCATCTCTTGAAAGTGTTGTTCTCCACCAAGGATGCCACTTTCTAAACTCGCTGTAGTGTCCAGAGCATTGGGGTTGGGGAAGTTTTCGGCAAAGGCTGAAGCTTCAACATCTGTGATGAGAAAAATAGCAGACCGAGTCGAAGTTTCCCCAAAACATCTGTTCAGCAAAGGCTGGGAAGATACCTTGCATCTTATCAGGGAGCAGATGCAAACCTCACCAGGCAGCTACTGAAAAATCCAAGAGGCAGCTCTAGGTTTGTAGTTATTAATATCAAGGGCTCCTGGCTGGCTGGGACTTATAGAAACTGAAGACTACAAGTTTGAGGAAGGTGGTTATAGGACCTAAATACTGCTGGGCTGCCTGAAATAAAGTGGCAACTTCATTTCACAGTAGTGGTACCACCTAGATGACCTTGGTTGGCTTCAAAAAGTGAAGCAGAGTTGGACCTGGTTAATATCTGGAAGGGAAACCATCACGAGGTCCCAGAGCTGTAGACCAGATGGAGAAATTGGAAAAAAAAATCAAAATAAGGCAGTGTCAAAACACTTCCATCCTGTTGCCAAGAAAACAGCACAGGAGATATGATCATGAAGTCCCAACGTGACTCTGATGTGCTCTGCTTTCAAACAAAGCAAACATGTTTTTTTTTCCTAGTCTCAATGCCTGAACCCTGAACCTTCCAGTAGGAAGAGCTAGGGTTAACCCTTCAAACTCCAGGATGTCTCAGTTGCAATTCCATACAAAATGTGGAGGAACAGAACAGCCTCTCTCCTATATTTTACACCAGCCAAGCTCAACACAGTGAATCATCCAAATACTGCTGTAACTTTAGAGAGAGAGGTTAAAATATAATTGTACCTATAACTGTGAAGAACAGCAGAAGCTACTTCTTTATACTTTCATGTCTACCTTTATATCTTTCTCTTTTTTCTCTTTTTCTGTTCTCTTTTTCTTTTTCGTTTTCTCCGCTCTAATTGAATTTGTATTAGTTCTTATTATTGTTCCCAAAACTTAATAAAAATGATATATGTGTAAAAAAATACTGCAACGGTCTCCTTGTTATTTTTCTTCCAGTGGCAATTTGGGGTTCTTCTGCTCCTTGCGATGCAAAACAGCCAAAGAGTGTTGCACGATAAAGCTGGATGAGTGTGTGGTTCAAACAATATCACGTACACTTTACTCACATTTTCCAGGTCTGTAGCGCTGTTTTCCAACTGCAAATTCTGGGTGGTGCAGCTGAGCAGATGATCCAGGATACACTGTTTTGGGTGCATCCCTTTATCAAAACGGTTATACATGCCGCACCAGAATCTGAGAGAGAGGGAGAAAGACACAGAGAGAGGGAGTAATTGAAAACAATAGTTGAGAGATTCCTGAAATGTTCAGATTTGCAAGACAAGGGAATGGGAGAAAGTCCTCCTCTTTAGCTTCTTCTAAAGGGGCCTGGGTGCCAATCTTAAGATTTTTGCTACCAACCATTGGTTCCTCCTTCCATGCAGAAGGTAGGTAAATCGAACAGAAAGGGGAATGCTTAAAAATTTAGTGCTTTGCCTAAAACACTCTAAAAACCCATCAACACATTAAGGTATAGAGAGCAATGTGTGAATCTAAGCCACTCTCTTGATTTTGGCAAAGAGTGCTCTATTTTTTGGGAGGGTGGGGGAAGGCAGGCTAGACAGTCTTGGAAGATAAAGGATGGGAGAATGCAGAGGGCTCCTGAAAGCCAACTCCCACATTTAACAGAACACACTGTGGAAAACAGGACATCTGTTTTGGGCTTCAGGCTCCAGAAGCCCCTGCTAATGGAAAGCAATCATGGGGTCTGTAATTCAAGCTGTTTGAAGGGAACCAGGTTCCCTAATCCAGTAAAGTGACTAAGTAATTATACTTAAGCTAACTTTGTGTAGGCAACAGATTTGGGGTTTCTTATAGATTCCCCAAACTCACATGCACTGCATACCTATTTTAAACAAGCTCTTCCTTTCCAACAGCTAAGAAGCATCTACTTGGGAAAAGACTAGGGCCTTGCTGGTCAATAACAGGATAAAAAAATCCTGTATTTGCAATCTGTGCTGACCTCCTGCATGGAGAGTCTACCTAGTTAGCTCTTGGGCCTAACTGGACATAAAACAGCAAGTACACCTTAGAGTAAGAAACAGGCTTAATTCCCAGTAGCTCTGATGCAATCAAGCTGCAAGCTGAAATCTATAGTTTAGAAGAAGGAAGCCAGTTTCCTCCATGCTACCCAACATCAGGGTCAACTTATATCGTAAACAGATCCAGAGTCTGATAACCATCAATCATCTACGGTTCGGCTATTGCTGACATAACTTCAGTTTGCCATGAACTGCAGCAGAATTTCTAGCTAAGTGAAAAGCAGGTTGGCATAAAAACCTTGATTCAGGAGAACAAGGGGAATTACACATTGCTACAATCCACGAAGCAAACGGCTGCGTAATTTGGAAAGCTGATGTGTGATTTTATGCTCCCACGGGATTGTACAATTAAGACACAGTTGCTTCATCGCTTAGAGATTAAGTCCTCCAGATGTTCCAGAGGAACATTTGGGGGTGCTTTGGCCATAAATCTTGGTTTAATAAACCAAACCTGATTAATCAGAAAATAAACATTTTCTACCAGTGCATCTATCTTCCCCCTCCCTTCTCCTATGCTATAATCTCAAAACCTTTAAACCATAGTTTCCCATTACAACCCAAGCAAGGATTTGTAGCTGGTTACCCCCAAAAAGATAATTACTGGGTATCATGGTGGCTTAAAAGGGACTAGATTCAGATGAGCCCAAACTCATTCCTAAACTATAAAAAAGCAGAACTTCTCCTCTCTAAAAAGAACCTCTTTTCTTAGAGTTGCTTCTTTATCTGCTGTGGACTTAATATTTTATAAACATTAAGCAGCAAGGGCAGTGGGGTCATCTGGGTTCAAGCTTCTCCTTTTCTCCAGCAATAACTTACTGGAAGCTGAACGGCAGGGTGTTGGGCTGGAGGTACGTGTAAGCTGTGTATCCCTTGTAGAGTGGGTTTCTGAATTCCAGCTTCTTCTGCAGAAGAAACGGCCACAGGGAATGTGTTTTCTCAAAGATTCTGAAAATAGGCGAGCAATGAAAACCATCAGCACGGCCACAAAACATCTCTCAACGTAGTTCCATGCCCTGGAGAGCCTGTCATTTAGATGACTGCAATGGGCTACACAGGGGACCGCCCTCAGAGGTTGTCTGGTATCAAATAGTTAATACAAAATAGGAGGGCAACAGAACCAATTGTGCATTTAATTGCAATTTCTTCTCTGGTTTGCAGTTTTTCACTGCTTCATTGGGGCTGCAGACAAATTGCTCGCAATAAAGATTCAGGAGAGCCGGAATCAGAGCAAAGGGAATCGGCTAAGCCAGTCTTTCTCAACCTTAGGAACTTGAAGGTGTGTGGACTTCAACTCCCAGAATTCCCCAGCTAGCATGCTGATTGACTGAGAAACACTGTATTAAGCAAAGATCTGCTCCACATTACTGCCTTGGGATCCAAACTTGGATCAAATCCAGTGTTCATCCTGGCTTAAGAGCCGTGCTGCACTAGGTTAAAGCTGCACCTCTCTAGCACCCTTTTTCCCAACAGGCAACCTGATACCCCCAAGAAGCCCACTTGTCTCCCAGCTGTTGGTATTCCATGAGACTGGGCCTCTTTTCTTCCCCAAACCTGTCATTAAAACTTTCTAAAAGAGACATGCGAATGCAGTAGGAGCGTTGCATGTAGCTCTTGGAGAGCCCCTACCGAGGCGCACTTGTGTGCTACACATTCACCACCTTTGGGCATCGAACCCTCCTTCCCCCTGCCAGACAATTAGAGCATTTTGCTCTTAATTTTAATTTCCACGAAACAGGAGAAGATGCCAGAATCCGCGTGGAGGAAACGCCAGCTCACTTCAGATCTTCTCGGTCCTTGTGACAGGTCCCCAGGAAATTGCCAAACTGGCAGGAATAGACGTGATCGTGAATTTCGAGAAGCAGGCGCTCATTGAAGTCAAAGGCACAAGGAAACTGCTGCATGAGCTGCCAAGTGCATTCAAGGAACTGGGTGAAGACTGGAGACAACTCCTTGGGATCTCCTTCGAGATGGCCGCACCTAGAGAGACCAGAAATAAGCCAGCCATAGCAACCCAATGAACGTGGTGCTGAACCTTTCACAAGTGCTTACAACAAAAAAGCGGGATTCTTCTTCTACCAGATTTATTGAAAAAGGGAATTAGGTGACAGAAATCTTGGCAACTGGGTACATTTACTTTAGCATCCAATGTATCTCTACGTTTCTTACAGTGGAGCTTTCTTGATCCTCCTGCTATCTATCTCTTGATGCACTGGGGAAGTGATTATCTGTATCAAGGAAGAATGTGTAGATATTCCGCATCTGTAACATTGTGCAAAGCACCACCCTATTTCCCAGGCTCCAAGAAGCCCATTAGAAAATACTTCAAAGGAAAATCTTAGTTAATTTGGGATGGATGTTCACCCCTACTCAAAGGAAGTGGGCCCATAGAGGGAGATGTTCTTTATTCTTCCCCCCAGCCCTATAATGAGAAAAACGTACACTGCACTCACACACTGCATTAAACTAAAATGCGGTTTGCTTGTTGTTTAGCGTCCTGTGTGAATCCTGCCACTGCAGTATGGCCACCAGCATTTATGGCTTAGTATCTTGTCCAAGCATTCAGCAACCCATGGTTAAACCATTATGGATTAGCTCCATGCATGAACCAGCCAGGTGCTCAGATTTTAGAGAAGGAAATTAGCAAAATAAATTCTTTTAAACTGCGGTTAATCCTGTTTCCTCATCGCTAGGCAATGCAGCAAGGACGCTGAAGCCAAACTGATCTCAGCCTCTGTGCAACCAACAGGGAACCTCATTAGAGCTCTTTCAAGGAAAGGGAGAATGCAAAATAAATATTTGCAAAAATGCCACGCAGAATTGCAACCGCTCTGCAGGGGTTCCCTGGCCCCTTTCCTTCCTCTCAAAATAGATTCTGTAAAAACTGCAATGCAGAAGTCAGTCCCGCTTTGCTGAAATGTATGAAATGAGATTAAGTGAGCACAAAGAGAACTGGTCGGGAGTGAAGGTGGAGAAGAGATAGCGGATGAAAAGATGAGGAAAGGGGGAACTAATCCCCTTTAGGGCTAGTTTCAGCTGTCCCAAAATCACTTCTTGGAGTTTTCCTCTCCATCAACAGTTACCCAACCACTAGATATAGTGAATAGTCTCAGTATTCTTTTTTTTTAATAATAATTTTTATGAAAAAATTGTTCTCAAATATAAAAGATAAACATAAGGTTTAGAATGAAAGAAAAGAAGAAGAAAAAGTAACATGAAAAAGTGAGAAAAGTATAAGAAGAGACTCCCAATCTCCTTTACAGCAGTTACAAGCAAACAAATCTTCATACCTCCCTCTTTAAAATTGTATCGTATTTCCCTTCTTCCCATTATTCAACCCTTCTTAATCAGCAAATCCATAAATCGCCAAATCATTTTTTTCCCATTCTCTGCAATAAGTCCATAAAAGGTTTCCAGTTTTTAACAAAAGTACTTGTTATCTTCCATTTCTGCTAATTCCATTCTGTGAAGGACTGTGAGGAATAGTTTGAATATTCTTATTTTTTTATCCTTATTTTTAATTCTTATTCTTATTTTCCCTTTGCCTGCCCCTTACTTTTTTTCTTTTATGTTCTTCCGTTTTTAAAATTATAAGCTCCAGGTTAGAAGCTGTCTCTTTTTATGAATCTGTTAATCATGCTCCAAACGAGATGCAAAGAAGACCTCTTTTTTCCTACATTCACAATTCCAACACACAAACCTGTTTTTACCTGTGTGAGAATTTATGGCCCATTGCAATCCATTCCTTCTCTATCAGAACCTTTAATGTTAAATGAAAGGGGAGGGAAAGAGACAGAAAGAAGGCATTATAATGTGGCTGTATTTATAGAATTCAAATCCTGCTTTTCCACCAACAGACTGCCTTCAAGATGGTTAATAAGAATAACTCAAAGGTAATGGAAACACAACCAAATATATATCAAAACCCATAATAAAGGCAATAAAAATACCTCCCACTTTCCCAGCTGCATCATCCATAGCAAAATCCACACAGACCGATGAAATGATTTCAGTGCCCTCAGACGTACGTACGTAATTTCAATTTAAAAAATAAATTGGACAAGGAAGATAGTTAGAGGAAGAGGGCAAGCCAGCCTTGGGCCATAAAAACAGGATTTCTCCTCGCAAAGATTTGCTCCACAGCCAGCTTTTCCTCCTCCCAGCCTGGCTCCTAAGTTAGGCAGCTATGTTTGCACTCAAAAATAAACCGCCTTCCAAAATATCTTTCCTCAGCCTGGGATGCTCTTTGGAGAGATGTATTTATTTATTACAAGGATCGATTAGGGCTGTGCAAACTATTTCAGATTCGAAATGCTCAGAGCTTAAAACAGGGCCATTTGGGGCTTGGCACTTTTCCAGAATGGTGAAACAACATTGGAGCTCTTTCAGGAAGGTGTGGGACGGCTGTTTCAAGCTCAAAATGTTTTGCATACCATGACTGATCCAGGAATTTCTAGATAACGTTCCTTCCCCCGTGGCTTATAGGCAAAATAAGTAACTGTCTTTCAGACATTCCATGTGTCCTTTCTGCTGAAGGACTGGTGGTAACAGACTGGGGAGGGCAGCAAAGAGTCTGAGCAAGCTTGGTGAAAGGTTCTTGCCCGCTTCCTCTCCAAGAAAGGAGTGCCTTTTCCCTAGAGACTCTTGGATGTAATCTTGGGACTACAGCTTCCAATGTTCCCCACCAGCCTGATCCACCTCTGTAAGCTTCACTTCCAATACCACTGGAGGTATGTGTCTTGGAGAAGTCTCCTGAAAAGAAGCTGAAATCTGCTCCCTTGAAAAGACAACATTATCCTTCCGCAAAGAGCAAAGATGCTCTTCCTGAAGTTTAAAATCTCATCCTTGCAACTAGCAGCTCGACTCATAGGCTCCCAAACCGCCTTCTCTAGATGTATCCAATGTTAGTGTTCAAAAGCAAGGACTGATTAAAAAAAAAAAATCTGAGTGAAAAACAGACCCCAAAGGGTGTCTTCATCAATGAGCTGGCACCTTCTTCTGCCTTAGTTTCCCAAGCAAGGACACTGAAAAACACAAGGGCAGTGAACTTGTCTCCTTGGTTAAAATAGAGGGAGTTAAACCAGTTCCTGGAGGTTCTTGGTTTCCTTCCTCACCCTCTCCACCTGAACCAAGAGAAAGGTTGTGCTGAGGTTTGACTCCCTAAATGCAGGGGCTCAACAAAGGAACACCAAGCCTTCACCAGAAGATCTATCTGAGCCACATGAAATCAGAGTGGTGAATGTTCCCCACAGCTCACATTAAGTCTTTCAGAACATGTGACATTTCAACCCTTATTTCTCATGAGATTTCAGCACGACGCGCTAACCTGCTTCCAGACACAAATGCGCCCAAGATCTGAGGGTGAGATGCTGACACTGACATGCATTTATAGTAAAGAGACTTCCCCGATCCACCCGTGGCATGACTCACACTCTCTCCTGAGCAGAGAGTAGGAAAGACGTACTCTTGTTCCAAGCCACTCTGCACCTTACTGGATGTGTGTGTGTGTGTGTGTGTGTGTGCGCGCCAAAAAGGCCAACATCCTTGGCTCCCAACGCATAGGAAGTGGGGCAAGGAAGGAAAACTTGACACGGCTCTTTGAATCCATTCGTTTTGTTGCATCCAAACGCAACCACGTGGCTTCTCCACGTTAGCGGCACCCAAAAACTATTACGTTATGGAAGCAATCAGCTGCATTTCATAGACCTCGTTCCCTTTTCAGAACCAGTTTCAAATAAACTACAATGGAACCTCGGGTTACGAACGCTTCTGTTAACAAACTTTTCGGGTTATGACCAGCTCTGGCCGCAAAATTTTGCTTCGGTTTGTGAACTCCGCCTCGGGATACGAACAGGATACGTGGCCATTTTCCCTCCCGTGACACGGTCCGTGGCCATTTTTCCGCCCCTGACATGTGGTCTGTGGCCATTTTTCCGCCCCTGACATGTGGTCT